CAGACTTTATTTTTGGGGGCTCCAAAATCACTGCAGATGGTGATTGCAGCCATGAAATTAAAAGATGCTTACTCCTTGGAAGGAAAGTTATGACCAACCTAGAGAGCATATTAAAAAGCAGAGACATTACTTTGCCAACGAAGGTCTGTCTGGTCAAGGCTATGGTTTTTCCAGTGGTCATATATGGATGTGAGAGTTGGACTGTGAAGAAAACTGAGCGCTGAAAAATTGATGCTTTTGCACCATGGTGTTGGAGAAGACTCTTGAGAGTCCCTTGGACTGCAAGGAGATCTAACCAGTCCATCCTAAAGGAGATTAGTCCTGGGTGTTCATTGGAAGGACTGATGCTGAAGCTGAAACTCCAGTACCTTGGCCACCTCCTGCGAAGATTTGACTCACTGGAAAAGACTCTGATGCTAGGAGGGATTGGGGGCAGGAGGAGAAGGGGACGACAGAGGATGAGATGGCTGGATGGCATCATCAACTCGATGGACATGGGTTTGAGTAAACTCTGGGAGTTGGTGATGGACAGGGAGGCCTGGTGTGCTGCGATTCATGGGGTCGCAAAGAGTCGGACAGGACTGAGCTACTGAACTGAACTGAACTGAACTGATGGTGTTAAAGAATATTCTAATTTTATTCTTTTACATCTAGCTGTCCAGTTTTCCCAGCACCAGTTATTTGAGACTATCTTTTTCCCATTGTATATTGCTGCCTCCTTTTTCATAGATTAGGTGACCATAGGTGTATGGGTTTATCTCTTGGCTTTCTATCCTGTTCCACTGATCTATATTTCTGTTTTTGTGCTGGTACCATTCTGTCTTAATTACTGTAATTTGTAGTATAGTCTGAAACCAGAAAGCATGACTCCTCCAGCTCCGTTCTTTTTTCTCAAGATTATTTTGGCTATTTAGGGGCTTTTTGTGTTTCCAGAAATTTTTAAAAAATTATTTATTCTAGTTCTGTGAAAAATTCCAGTGGTAATTTGATAGGGATTATATTGAATCTGTAGATCACCTTGGGTAGTATAGTCATTTTAGCAGTATTGATTTTTCTAATCCAAGAACACAGTACGGCTTTCCACTTGTTTGTGTTGTCTTCAGTTTCTTTCATCAGAGTCTTAAAGTTTTTGGAGTTCAAGTCTTTTGCCTCCTTAGGTAAGTTTCTTCAGATGTATTTTATTCTTTCTGATGTGATGGTAAGTGGGATTTGCCATCTCCTTCATTTCTCTTTCTGATATTTTGTTGTTAGTGTATAGAAATGCTACAGATTTCAGTATACTAACTTTGTATCCTGGGAACTTACCAATGCGCTCTGGTAGTTTTCTGGTAGTGCCTTTAGGATTTTCTATATATAGTATCATGTCATCTGCTAATGGGGACAGTTTTGCTTCTTTTCCAATTTGAATTCCTTTTATTTCTTTTTCTTATCTTATTTCTGTGTCTAGGACTTCCAAAACTATGTTGAATAAAAGTAGTGAGAATGGGTATCCTTGTCTTGTTCCCGTTCTTAGAGGAAAAGCTTTCAGTTCTCTACCTTTGAGTCTGATGTTAGCTGTAGGTTTGTCATATATGGCCTTTATTATGATGGGGTAGGTTTCCTCTATGCGTACTTTCTGAAGAGTTTTTTTAAAATTATAAATTGTATTGAATTTTGTCAAAAGCTTTTTCTGTATCTATTAAGATGATCATATGGTTTTTATTCTTCAATTTGTTAATGTAGTGTATAACATTGATTTGCAGATATTGAAAAATTTTTGCATCCCAAGGGTAAATTCCACTTGATCTTGGTATATGGTCCTTTTAATGTATTATTGCACTCAGTTTGCTGGTATTTTTGGATAATTTTTGCATCTATATGTTCATTAGTGATATTGGCCTATAATTTTTTGTGTGATACTTTTGTCTTACTTTGGTATCTGGGTGATGGTGCCTCATAGAATGAGTTTGAAGGTATTCCTTTCTCTACACTTTTTGGGAACAGTTTCAGAATAATAAGTATTAACTCTTCTTTAAATGTATGGTAGAATTTGCCTGTGAAGCCATTTAGTCCTGAATGTTTGTTTATTGGGAGTTTTTAAGTTACTGATTCAATTTCAGTACTGGTGATTGGCTTGCTCATAGTTTTTATTTCTTCCTGATTCAGTGTTGGGAGATTGTACCTTTCTAAGAACGTGTCCATTTCTTCTATAATGCTCATTTCATTGGTGTATAGTTGCTTGTGGTAGATGCTTATGATCCTTTGTATTCTGATTGTATTAATGTGAGCGCTCTCCTTTTTTTCCTTGATAAATCTGGCTAAGGGCTTATAAATTTTGTTTATCTTTCCAAAGAACCAGCTTTTAGTTTTATTCATTTTTTCCTATATATTTTTTTGCATCTATTTTATTTAATTCTGCTCAGATCTTTATGATTTCTTTCCTTCTACTAACTTTGAGTTTTGTTTGTTCTTCTTTCTCTAGTTGCTTCAGTTGCAAGGTTGGGCTATTTATTTGAGATTTTTCATGTTCCCTGAGGTAAAGCTTTTACTGCTATCAACTTCCCTCTTAGAACGACTTTTGGTGCATCCCATAAGTGTTGGATCATCGTGTTTTCATTTCCATATATGATGGAATGTTATTCAGCCCTAAGAAAGAAGGAAATTCTGCTATTTGTGAATGGACCTTGCAGATACTTTAATAAGTGTAGTAAATCAAACAGAGAAAGATAAATAGTGCATGGTATTCCTTATATGTGGAATTTAACCCCCAAAAGTCAAAATTATAGAAATAGAGAGTAAAAAGTGGGAACTGAGCACCGGGAATGGGGGAGATAGAGGTTAGTAAAAGCATGCAAACTTTCAGCTATCAAGTGAATAATATCTAAGAATCTAATGTAAAAATGGTGACTATAGTTGATAATGATAGTTGTTCAGTCATGCCTGACTCCTTGAATCCCATGGACTGTAGCCTGCCAGGCTCCTCTGTCCATGGAATTTTTCAGGCAAGATTACTGGAGTGGGTTGCCATGTCCTTCTCCAATATTGATAACACTGTATTAAATAATTGAGATTTGCTAAGAATAAAACTTAAATATTCTCATCAAAAAGGAGATAAATACGTGAGGTGATAAATGTTTAACTAGATTAATTGGTTATTAATTAAATAAGTGGGAATGAAATGAAAATGAAGACAGCAGAAATCCCATATATATATACATATGCACTGCCTTCAAATAGAGTCAAAAGAGATATTCTGTCCCTAAAGGATGGGATGCTGTGTTTTAAATTGCTATTAAGACAAGTTTATTCCCACTCCTCTACCTCCATAATACACCTTGGGAAACTATAGCTTAGTACCAGAGGAGTTTTCTCACTTATCTCGCCTCTCATGATGTCCGTTCTATGCCAGGGAGATAGAATTGTTTAAAGGTATGAATCTATTACATTAAAAAAAAAAATGGGCAAACCCTGTAAACCAAGCAATTTCTTGTTCTGGTATAATCTGCCTTCAAGAAATGCTCACAACACATGCACAGGGCATTGCTTATAACAAGAGATTTAAATTTAAAAGTTATGGGGTATATTTACAGCAGCACAATAGTTACAAAACTGTGAAATTATTTCTCCCAACTGAGAGAACTGGGGTAAGAATTTGGGTCCATGTTGTAGGAAATGAAGGTTAAGGGCTTCTCTAGGCCTTGGGTTCTAATTTTATTTTACTGTATTATGAAATCTTCTGCATCAAGGTCTAGAGTGCACTATTGAAATCTTATAGCCCTATTCAGGCTTCAACTGCATGTCATATATAGAATTCTTAAGGTTCTCATTAGTTGAAGATTTGGGGGAAATTTTTCAACGTGACAATAAGTTTGGTGAGATACATTTACCAAAATATGATGGATTGTCCTCTTAGGCAAGAATTTAGGACAACAGAGAAAAGAATTTCTCTTTGTTTGTGAAACCTTGTCTAAGTTGTATTTAATTCTGGATACCACACTTGATCTGGGACACTTGGAGTGTTTTTTCAAAACACCATGGTGGTGAAGGAATCTGAAACCACTTCAATAGAGGCAGAGAGTGAAAAAAAAAATTCTGCCAGGGAAAGAGGAAAACATCCCAGTATTGTACAAAATGGTATTAACTCAATAGCTGGTACCTCTTATAGCCCTGTCCTTCACCATTGTGTCCCTTGCTCTTAAGTCGACAGCTGCGCACACAGTGGGTCCTCAATCGATGTTTGTTGAATAGTTACGTTATCATGTAATCTTGAGGGTATGATTGCCTGATCATATTTTAAATTAACTACTACATCTGAAGGAAGCATTACTGCAGTTCTTGGGGGACGCAGTGGCCGAATCCTGGCTCCCGCAGTGGCGCATCTAAGGGCATCTTCGGTCCCAGGGGGCCTTGCCAAGGATGACCTTTCTTTTTCTTGCCCTTTTCCTCCCTCCCATCTCCAGGCTGTAGATGACTCCGTGGTCACGAGGTCGCGACAGCCCGCGCCGTCGTGGAGACAGCAGGACGTGGAGAGAGAACTACATTTCCCAGCTGACTCTCGGGCGCGCGCCCCTGCTCCAGTGCGGGGGGCGATTGCAGCAGGCGCTCGCTCCCCGCCGAGCGCTCGTCGCCCGCCGGAGCCTCTGCCAGGGGATGAGGTGGGAGGCGCTAGAAACCACTTAGCTACAGCCAACCGCCCAATGCAGCACTCGCTCGCTCCCCCCACCAGCGGAAGCGCCCGCGGAGCACAATGCAGCACTGAGGCAGCCCCGCGGCGGAGGCTGCAGCGCCTGGGTCGCCACAGCTCGGGTCGGGGCTGGGAGCGGGTGGCCCAGGCTAGCCCCGGGCGCGGGGCGCGGGGCGCGGGATCCGGCCGCGGCTGCCTGGGCATGAGGAGCTGAGCATCTCGGGCGAGGCGGGCGGACGGCAGCACCATGCAGGCGGCGGCGGCGACGGCTGTGTCCGTGCCCTTCTTGCTGCTCTGCACCCTGGGGACCTGTCCCCCGGCGCGCTGCGGCCGGGCAGGTAAGTTCGCCGTCCTCTGTGGCTTTGCAAAGTACCATTTCCCCGGCATCTTTGCAGCCCTCAAGCGCATGATAAAGGGGCATCCCCCATTTCCCGAGTTAGCGGGGAGATTTTTTTATTTAGAAGGGTGGTGAGAGTGAAGCAAAAATATATTGTGGGGGCGCGCGGATACGTTAGAAGCTTTAGGTCAAATGCTTGTTTTTCTTCGGAAGTAGAAGAGGAATGCGGAGGATGGGAGAGGGGGCTCTGCTTTTGGGCCCCGATCTTGGATGCTCTCAGATGAGCTGGTCCAAGGCTTTGCGTCTGGTGTCTCTGCGTCCTTCCCAGATGGGGTCTGGGAGGGAGGGGAGGTGGGATCTTCTCCGGAGAACCATCGGACCGCAGGATGGACGAGTGTCCGTCAGGGTCATTATTTTCGCCTTTTCTCCCTAATTCTTCCTTCCCCCCTTTCCTGCCTGGAGGAGACGCCCCGTTGACCGAGCTGGAGAGGAGGAACGAGAACCGCTTCCTGGAGCGCCAGAGCATCGTGCCACTCCGGCTCATCTACAGCTCGGGCGGAGAAGACGAAACTGGACACGACGCGCTGGACACGCGGGTGCGGGGCGACCCCAGCAGCGGGCAGGTGAGAGGCGCGGTCCAGGGGGTGGTCCTATGCGCGGCCCGGCCCACTCCGACCCTGCGTTTGCTCTCGGTTGCCCTGGAGATGCAGTGTCTTGGGTGAAAGCAGCGCAATTCTCTTGCGAGTCATATATGGCGCTCCCTGTGCAAAAGAAAGAAGAGAAGGCGGACAAGACCCCCAAAGAGTCACAGGCCAGGGGCTTTGCTCAAGAGGTGTTTGTGCGGGATGCCTCCCTGTGAGCGGCAACCTGAGTGAAGGGGCGGAGACCCTCTCACCGCTGCCAAGCAAAAGCCATGTGTAGGCAAGAAGGCATACAATATTTGAGCAGGATTTACATCATCATTGTTGTTGTGGTTGTTGTTGTTGTTTTAATTCTCAGAGAGAAGGCTTTGTGTGATTTTAGCCAAGATTTGTACTGTAGGAAAATAGGAAAAACAAGCGTAGACATCCCTGCTTAAACTTAAAACTTAAAATTAAGCTCAACTACAAGGTTCTGAGCTCACTCAATTTGTGGACATCGGAGATGGACCCATTCAACTCCACCTTTCAAAAAAGACATCCCCTTCTCCCCTTTATTGATAGCAGTTCTCTTGATGTAATTAGGGCAGTGTGGCTTTGGGGGCATTTATAAAATAAAATAAAAACCTAACTACCGTTTACCATATTTAGGTCAATATCACACATTCAAAGATATGCTTGAAAATTCTTTTTTGAACTTACTGTTTAAGTAAGTATTTTGGGGCTCTGTAAGCATTTTTTAAATTTACATATATCGACCTGGCAACCAGTTCATCCACCTGTAAGTACATATTCAGATAGAACATGTTCATGTAGTTGAGAATTTTGCACACTTCACTAAAGTACACTGAATATTTTTACATGTCCAAATATATTCTTAATATTTTAAGATGTGTCTTGATGTGATAATCATAGTAATTTATTATAAGTGTAAAATATGTAAACATAGAAAAATACTCCTTATTTGTAGCCAAGTACTTAATTTTGTTAAAATGTTAACATGATAGAAATTAAAGTGCTATAGTAATATCCATCAATTAGATTATTATAATAGAAAATTTAATATGTCAAGTTTTAGTGAAGGATCCCATCATTTGAACTGGTGTTTGGTAAACACCATTTCCATTATGGGGATTCCCTGGTGGCTTGGATGGTAAAGCATCTGTCTGCAATGCTGGAGACCTGGGTTTGATCCCTGGGTTAGGAAAGGAAGATCCCTTGGAGCAGGAAATAGCAACCCACTCCAGTACTCTTGCCTGGAAAACCCCATGGACAGAGGAGCCTGGTAGGCTACAGTCCATGGGGTCACAAAGTGTCGGACATGACTGAGCACCAAAGTTTTCCATTATAATTTGCTTCCATAGTAAAACTGAAGAAGCATCAGACACTGTTAGAATTACTTCTGTAGAGGAATATTCTCACACTCATTTGCAACTTTTATTACAAAAAATTTCGAACACACATACACAAAAGTAGACAGACTACTATCATGAACTCTGAGCTTCAGCAATTAGCAACTCATAGCCAATCTCATTTTATATACATCCTATTTTCTTTTCCTTTCTGTATTATTTTGAAACATTTCATAAAAAAATTTAACTATGCACCTCTAAAAGACTAGGATTTTTTAGAAAATGTAATCATGATACTATCATAGCTAATATATATTAAATATGTCTATGTATTATATATAAATATATATATATATATAAAATAGACATATAAATATTATATATATTTAAGTTAGTTTGAACCAGGATCCAGATAATGTTTATAAACTGCAATTCATTTTTTTAAAGCCTCTTTAATGCATGATTTCCCTCATCCTTTTTCTTTCTTTCTTCCATACAATTGAGTCATTGAAGATATGGGGTCTCTCATCCAGTAGAGTCTTCCACAAGCCAAATTTTTGCTGATATAGACATTGCTTTAAAACAAATCACGGTGCTTTAAAACAAATCAGAGAGGAAGAAAGTAGAGATGGAGAAAAAGAAAACTGCAGGATTGAACCCGGAGACTCCTGGAGCCTCTGCCTCATGCTGGTGATGTCTTTAGGTACCCTCTGCCCTTCTCTGTGTCAGTGAAAGACTGCTATTCTTGGACAACAGGCCAGCCCTCCTTTTTCTTCCCATTTCTGGAATACCACTTTTGTGGGGTTTTTTTTTAGTTCATAGATCTCTCCACTTGGGGCAGAAGGTACTTGGGCCTGTGCAGCTTTTATGTCCTACAAGGATAAACCTCACCTTTGAGTAGAATGACCATGACCACCAAATGCCCTCACTTTTGGAGAGGTGTGAACGAATTGGTAGGATTTAGCTTAAACAACCGGAGAAGGCAATGGCAACCCACTCCAGTACTCTTGCCTGGAAAATCCCATGGACGGAGGAGCCTGGTGGGCTGCAGTCCATGGGGTTGCGAAGAGTCGGACACGACTGAGCGACTTCACTTTCACTTTTCACTTTCATGCATTGGAGAAGGAAATGGCAACCCACTCCAGTGTTCTTGCCTGGAGAATCCCAGGGACGGGGGAGCCTGGTGGGCTGCCGTCTATTGGGTCGCACAGAGTCGGACACGACTGAAGCGACTTAGCAGCAGCAGCAGCAGCTTAAACAACAGCATGAGTAGTTTATTCATTCAAGTCAGAAATGAAAGTGAAGGTGCTGTCTTGTCATCAAAGTAATTATGACAGGCAGTTATCTCCATGCCGGCACGTGGTGAGATACACATAGTGCATGTGTTTGGGTGCTGGGTCTCCGGGGAGCTACAGCAGTTTATTGTGTTCCTCAGCTCCAGTTAGTGATCACTGACTAGTAGGGCTGAATCTGGCAGAGTTGCAAAGACTTAGTTGCCATATGCCAACACTTGTTCCAGTTAGGAAACTAAGGAGTGGTCCTGCAATGTGTCATTTCTTATTTCATTGAGAACTGTTCATTGAATCCAAAAACATAAGTTAATTATGTTTGGACCTTGTTATTTCTTTGGTGATTAAATGGATGTAATTTATACTCATAAGTATGTTTAGCAGCTTCCTTTCTAATAATAAAATTAGGATGCTTTCTGTCAGCTTACAGAGGTATATACTGATTTGTTTATTTAAAAGACATTTATATACTTGAGTTCATGCTGTATACCATTTTTTTTTTTTTGTAAGACCCTGGGGATTTAGAGGTAAAAGACTCAGTTCTAGCCTTTAAGGAGTTTACAGACAAGTAGGAAGATGAATGAATAGATAGGTAGTTACACTATGTCCTTGTGTGTGATTTTCTGGAGGTGATCACAGAGAGATGTGGAAACAGAGAAGACAGTGCTTAACCTAGCTGAGCAGTCAGGGTGGGCTCTCAAGGGGAGGCACCATCCGAACTGTGTTTTGAGGGTTGGTAAGAACTCACCAAATTATAGGGAATGGGTGGTCATATCAAACGAAGGGTCAGCAGGTACATGGACATGTGAAATTAGATTCATTTTTGACTGCAAATTGTTAAGATTTAAGGGACAGAAGAAACAAACCAGAAAATAGATCCTTTAGTACTTCCATGACTTGCTGAGGAATTTGGGCTTCTCCTGAAGGCAGTTCAAGGATTTCAGTAAGTAGAGTTATCGACCTACATATAGGTAACCTGCTAGAGTTACTATAGGCAACCTACTAGAGTTACCTATACTATCATGTTGTTATGGTGTAATGCTAATTGTTAGAAATGAATAATGTTAATTTCAAAGGCTGAGTGAATGTGGTTGTTCACTTCAATTCATTGTTCAATGCCAATTCACATACTCATTAAGCTCCATAAGAACTTAGTTACTAAGTATACTTAGCTGCTTAGTATAAATGAGTTAATATTTATGTAGCACTCAGAACAGTTCTGCATGTTCTATAAGCACTATATGAGTTTTGTTAAATAACATTAACTCGCTTAGGCTGCTTGAGTACTATTTAGAAATTTTATGACATCACTTTAATGCAAAATGGTGCCCTAATTACCAGAATTTAACACTTTCCCAGAAGTAAGTTACAAATTACTCAAGTTTACATAACTAAGTGGAATCTTAATGATTATAAAGATGAAAGAAATCTTATAGGTCATCTAACCTAATTGAAGACTCACTTCTTACCTGGTAAGATAGAGTCATTGATCTAGAGTAAGGAAACCAGAAATGTTTTACTTAATGTTTGAGAACGCTCACAAGAACTATGATGGTATAAAGCACCTTAATTTTACTTTTACTGTGTCCTTACTTCAGTTTTCACCCCAAAATTGAACTGCACATTTTAAATTTTTGGAAAATTTAGTTCTGTGGAAATACTGGAAATTTGATAGTTGTGAAATAATTAATTCTGTTGGTAAAAGTCCATATCTGTATGTCCAGTTGCTTGAATGTATACTTTTATTTTCATCCTGAATCAGATGACTGACCCAAACTGAAAGCTTATTGTGCCACGAAGTTCTAGAAATGGTAGTCAAAGGAATTGTATTTGACTGTGGGTAACCTTGCTCTCCTCAAGATTGTCTTCCTGATCTGAAGTAGTTTCAGTTCTGTAAAAGAGCACACAGAACTGGATTATTCAAAGTATACAGTCTTTCTTTCATCTGGGTTGAAATTACTTGTGCTGAAAAAATTGTATGTTGCAGATAATAGGATAAAATATATTTTAACAGAACTTATACCCATATAGGCAAGGTATCACCTACAGAGTCCTGCTATTGGTTTGAAACGTATGATCACGTAATTGCTATTATAAAGAGCAAGCACCTTCCTGGTTACTCTTTTTTTTCTTTTTGTTTTGGCAAGCCAAGCATGACAGATTTAGCGTAGCATCAAAGATAGGTTGTTTGGTGGTTTGTTTTGCTGTGTGGCCACCCCATACATTTTCAGTAATTTGTTTGGCAACAGTAATTGCTTTTGCTACGAGTAGCAGAATTTCTTTTTATCAGAAGTCTCTGTCAGTGAATAGACAGGCTACTTGTTTTCTATCTCATTCCCTGGAA